AAACGTCATAAATTTATCGCTATTGCGCCGAATTTGTAGAAGTGCCTTTCGAGCTGTGATATAGGCCCAAAACGATAAAAATGATGTACTTCAACGATATTAGTGATATCTTCTAGTACCTTTATTTTGCACGTGCTTACCTATTTTAATAAAACTTTACTAATAGTATTTGAACGGGGAAGAAGTAAACAAGAATAAAATAATTACGACGAAGGAAGTAATAAAAATGAAGTAATCAACTTTCAGTCACAAACTGAAGAATGTACATTATTTCACGAATTTGCATTTAAATGATAAACTTTACTTCAACGGTTATTACATGTTGTCAATGGTTAAATGAGAAGTTCACAAATAACGTATTTACAACAGTCAATTGCAAAATGACATCAATATTACACGTAATAAATTACATTATTACAGTCTTCAACTAGCAATAATCGCACCTCAGTAAACCTTCATTGATTACGATATTGCCATTGCGCAAAACTTTCGGTATGGGGTTGCGAAAGTTACGTTCACACACTTAAAAAGGATGCAAGAGGGGGATACGCTTTGTTCAGTGTCGGGGGTGGATGCAACGTATATTGAAAGACGCGAATGATAATGGCATCTGTGTGCTTTGTGGTGATAAGGAAGATTGGATCCATATCCTTTTAAATTGCTGTGCTATTGGAACATGGAGACAAAAATGAATGGGAATTGGAAACTTCTACTTCGAACATAGAAACGTAACGCTCGCCCAGAAGATACTTGGTGATAAAATGTCTAACTTCAAGAAATAATTAGGAACATTTCTAGGAAAGGTTCAAACCATTAGAGAAACGGAAATTAGGGGGATGAAATAAATAAGTTAATAAGCAAACAATAAGTTAATCAGTAATTTAAGTTAAGTACTAGTCATAGTCAATTGTTAAGTAATAAGTAAATAAATAAGTAAATCAACAAAATATAATAAAAGAAAAAAATTAGTGTCAAATAATTAAATAAGCACATTAGGGCAAAGAGTAGTGGGTGGCCCAAAAGTGAGTGTAAAGGCTTTGGTGTGGGCGATCTTCTGAGGCGCTATTTGATTTTAGGTGTGAAAGAGGCTAAACTTTGGAAGGAGAATGCGTGATGTTAGCGCCAGGAAATAAATAAATAGCTTAGAAAATATCTGGTAGATTAGCATGTACTCGGCTTCTGACGGCAGGTTTTTCACCTTCAGGGTTTTTTCCTCAGCCGTACCTTATGGCCTCTTTTCCGCGGCTTTGATGCGATGGAGAATTCGAAAGGTTAGAATACGGTACGATGTAGGTATTACATTTTTTTTATTAGAACTGCAATTGGGTATGACCCGGTGGCAGTTAAGTGACAATAATTGCAAAAATTGCAACACTTACATTAATAATAATATAATAATAAAAATAATATTAATAATAAATAATAATAATAAAAATAAAATAAAATAATAATAATAATAATAATAATAATAATAATAATAATAATAATAATAATAGTACCGTACAATACAGTACAGTATTGTAATGGCTTAAAGGCCTTCAGCCTAGCCTCATAGTATCACGTTATTTAATTTGTATGTGTAATAATTGTCTATTAAAAATATTATTACAGATTTAACATTCGTAAAATACACTTAAAATAAACCGAAAAACTGCAGAAATAGTAAACCAATACGTACCATTCTCATCCAAATAATGGAAGAGACATAGTGAAGCCGAATGACCCAAAAGCGGAGCCTAATGTCCTATGAAAACGATGTGCTGGCACAAACTACAATTCGAGGACCCCGTTTCGCATTCACCGTTGCAAACATACATTAAAAATAGTGTGCGTTTTTCCCGTCACTTGTCCATTGCGTGGGCAGGCGCGGCAGGGAGATTAGCGCGACCGGATGTTGCGAGCTGTTGAACGCGGAGGGCGACGGGACGCGGAGCGAGAGCCGGGTGCCGAACGCTGGTGGAGGCCCAGCGATGAACAGGGAGGAGTCCAGTGCGAAAGAAAATTTTGCCATCGTTAGATTCCGCGCTGGCGAGTCACCTAAGAGCGTGGAAAAGTGGTCAGGAGAGTTGGGGTTGAAATGGGTGCGAAAATGGTACTAGGAAATGAGAACGCCTAACAATTAGAGCAAAAACGGAGACTTGCAGTAAGGACGGCAGGAAAAGAAACGAATACAATATTTATACATTTTACACAGAAATGTGTAGCGATTCCCAGTCTCACGAGTGCAAATAAACCACAGTGTGCAACCATTTTGTGGGAATTCTTTTTCGGTTTACACTCATTCAATTTCTCGAAGGTAACATCTGCACATCATATTGATCTTAAATGTTCAGATTTAACATCTCCTGAAGAGAGATTAGTAGGTAACTTGACTGTTTTTAGTGGATTGAAAAGTTTTGTTCATGCTGCAAATGATGGACTACTAAAATATTTCTGTATTTATGTTGGTAAAGGAACTATAGCAGAAAATGATCTTAAAGCGTTTAGCCTAGAAGCCTCTGTGGTCAAATTATTGTCATATTATTCCCTCAAAATAACCGCCATATTATTTACACAGACACTAGTGTGTTCAATGTGCAGAACATTTTATAGACTACAAAATGTTTCTGACAGGGACTGTCATGAAAATCAGAACGGATTCAGAAGCATCAAAATTAAGAGAAGACAATGATTGTTTTGCCTTGTAAATAGAGTGAGTGAAAATGAGTCAAACTACTGTCCTCGTGCCTTGTTAGCACTCCACAGGATACATGTAAAAGATCGAAACAAGAAGGAAAGAAATGATGTACCATGCCCTGGTGTTGTACAAGCAATCATCAAAATGATGAGATCCATAGATCTAAGTGATAGGTTGCAGAAGCTCTGTAAAAACTAAAAAAATGGCGAGTTAAAGTATTTAACCACCTAGTTGATGTTGTAACTGTAAGCTGATGCCTGATGGAGGAATAACAGCTGACAACCACTTAGAGGCCACCTTAGGGAGTATTTTAAATACTCCCTCTCTCCCGTAACTCACCCGTAATGGGCTATTAATCCCCCAAAATAATTACGTACCTCTTTCGACAACACCCACCTCTTATGCAAAATGGGAAAATAAATTATAATTCAGTAAAAAAGAGTATTAATTTCATTAATTATGTAACAACTTTTAATAAACAAAAAATGGGAGTATTTCAACAAAAGTTAAAAAATGTAAAAACAGTTCAGTGTTACATAGTACTTTTGGAATAACCCCCTACCCCTATGTAACGCAGCATAGCTTGCCTCAAACCCCCTCCCCCCTCTTTAGCGTTACGTAATTCAAAGGCCGTTTAGTGCAGTTGATAGCAATGAGAGGGGCTGGGATGTAAATTGCACGCCAAGAAAGAAATACCTGCAAGTAGTAAGTCACGTCTGTGGAAGAAGTAAGATATTATCAAATTGGTCATTTTTCAGTTTTCTGTGATGCTAAATTTGCATCAAAACGTAGAAATGTTGGTTGAAAATCAAGAAAAAGAGTAAAATGTCAAAAAGGCAATATGTATTTGACTGTACTGAAGCATAATTGTTTTTTGAAATATCATATACAAATGTAAAATAAGAAAAATGTGAAATATTTTAATATTAATAATAACAGTATGCAATAATTGATCTTTCCAGATTACAATCTTTAATTATATCCTCATTTACATTCACAGTTTGTTTATTCTAATATTTGAATAGGAATCTTACGGTACTAATCTGAGGTCTATATATGTGCGCCAACGAGTTCCAAAATATAGAATGTAAAGAAAATATTTTTTGATATTTTTGTTTCCTTTACATCTCAAGCAACACAATTTTGCGAACACGATCAGAATTTCATAGCGCATTTTTTACTGAGTCTTAAAAGGATATAGTAAGGAATATATTGGTAAACTTCTTTGACTTTTAGACCTTTTAATACTTTGTTTTTAAAGCTACGTGCCAGGAAAACATTTATAAAGAAAAAACACAAATAAAGCTTCATTTCATTGTGTTATTTTTTAATATTAATAACAGACGCGATTGCTTCTATTACATCGCACAAGTGAATTTATAGAATGTTTTCTCTGTATAATACATACGAGTACATAGTAAACTTTATTTTGTTTGTTTATTATGTTGTTTGTTGACTATTGGAGGGAATAAACCGCCACTAAAGGAGATTGTTTTACAATTCGTTAAAATAGTTACTGCCTCGAAATAACTTGTGTTGTATCATCTCTGCGAGTAATAAATATTCCCCAACTTAGAGCGATTTGTTTTGCTAGTATTTACTCTTACACAATATATTCGTATCTAGATTAGAGCCAAAATATCCCTTGGCTGTTTTTGTCACCGGTCCTCAATTACTTCAAAATTTAAAGAGCTGACTAAAAAAATATATTCTGATTTTTTATTAAAAACGTATATATGTCTTTGAATATGGATGTGTGTATATGATTATATATATAGTATTCATACATACATGTTATATAAATGTGGTAAGGGGGTAAATCGGTAAACCTGTATCTGCCAGAACAGTAAATGTAGCTGTAATATTTAAACATTATTATTAATGTAACAGTTGGGTTTGGTTGACTCTCTGAAGACAGCTCTTGTTATGTGGTAGAAGTATTTTCATTCATTGAATGTTAGTATTTGTTTTTGTATTGTAAATGTAGAAGTATTGTAAATCTATAGGTTTCTGATCACCACATGACAATTAGCCAATTGTAGCCAAATAAATATTACTATAACATGTTTTGAATATTTAAGAAATACGTACAATTTTACAGAAATTTAATTTTGAGAGAACTTACATTATTTAAAGAAAAAATGCAATATTTAACTGATTATAACTTTTTAATGAAAGAATGCAAAGCCATAAAATGTATATTAACTAATATTGCCCCTGAGAATTTCGATCATCACAAATTATATCAATGTTTTCATAGCGTTATTATTGAATATCATCAACATATTCGAACGGAAATGTTCATTGTTGCCTTTCTAGCAGTTCACCAATTCGTCCTTAAATTCGTCGCTTTCTCTCTGCTCATCACAACCGACAGCCCTTGCTCCTCTATGTCGCGCCGCTCTTCCGGAGCTTTGGCGGAGCTGTCACGGCCGCCATTTCACATCCGCGTGAGCGCCGGACCGCGTTTATTTGACGCTAAAAGCATCATCTGCTGCGGCGGCGCGCGCTCATAAAGCTGGGTTTCGCCAAGCGGTCCTTCGAGGCACTAGACGAGCCCGCGCGATCACGTTTTGACCCCAAAGGCCAAAGCGGACCCGTTGCCAGACCCGTTTCTCTGGGCGATCGAACTTATTTCCTCCTCAATCGTCTTGCTGCAATGGCATTTCAACCCACCTGCGCTGTTTTCTTGACAAGACGGTCTTCATAGAAATGTTCCATATCTGATTTACTTGACCACAGTTAGCTTCTATTTCTTATTCAACATTTTCTCTCTCATCTGCCTGCAACATCTCACTTCACTATTGGTCAGCACCTCCAGCTAACACTTCCTATCATTGTACCACGCTCGCGACTCCCCCACCCTGCAAATTTCCCTTGTAATTTCTGCCCGCATTTCCCACCACACCTCCCGCCTGCCATTCCCACCTGCTTTTTCCGCCTCTTCTCATCCTAGCTGTATTTACAGACCAATCTACTCTCTTACAGTTTCCTTCCATACTCTCCGACTACACATACAATGCGCAAGAAAACTCTCTCCGCACCCAGCCGAATCAGGGCCTCCTATTAAAAAAATGCATTTATGTTGGTAGCAATCATATCACTTGGAACCAAGTGCATGATACCAGCCCTGAGGAAGACCACGACAAGATCGTCGAAACGTCGGCAACACAGCCTTCGACGCGACGTCACCCGGACAGACAAAATCATACACATGACTCTGGCCGCGGAAGCCGACGACTTCACTTGGAAACAAGTTAACGAGTCATCACTTGCAGCATCTGTTATGATTGTAGTAGAAACGCTAATTACGTTTTTTTGTTACGATAATTTCATACCAAGATAATTTGTGTTGCTATCACTCGCACCAGCAAGGAGATATTGCGGAGACACTTTCCTAACGCACGGTACTATTTAATTATCCGCTCCTTGGGTTTATTTATCCTCTATAATTTACCTCAAAAAAGTGGTTGATGTACCAAAAACAGTTGTAGAAAGTAATATTTCGCATGCGGTGCCTATTAACCTCATCATGAATATGCCGAAACTGAATAGGGAAACTATCGCTAGATGCCAAAAGGACAGACACTTCACTCCATGAATGATGAAGGAATTCTTACGTGGGGAACTACAACTGACGGAACCGGATGCCATGAGGTGGACATTCAATAGGAACCGGTGCAAACTGGTAAATAAAATGGTATGAGAGTCAAAGCTAATTCAGACACTTTTGCTCTTTTCTTTAATTTGTCATAGTCTGTGAACACACATGAGGTTATTGTTTTTTTTATCTACGAGAAAAGCTGGTGATCCTATTGTATTTAAAAGTTTTGAATATTTTAGTACGTATGAAAGTAATTTATATTTCGTACAAAACATTTAGTCAATGGCAACACGATTCTTAAATCAATATCTGCAAATATTCAAATTAGGGTTTAATTCATATTTCTTGTTTCTATTTACATAATGTGTTACATTTGGGATTATATTTTATACAAATTGTATTGTTTTTCTATGTGTATATTGCTTTTTCCCTTTCAGCATTTTTATAGTTCTAGTGTATTAAGTTATAGAAAAAGCTTTGAACATTCATGTCAATTTGGGGTAATAATAATTCTCGTACAAGTTACTTTAAAGAGAATATCTGATCAATTTTCGAAAAATAGTCGGTACAAGACTATTTCTATGATTGTTTCTTCGAATAGACGAATCCTCTGATCCTGACCATAGATTTTTCATTAAACTGGGGATATTGCGTGATATGGAGCAATGACGTGGATGGAATTAGTCAAGCATTAGCCCATGCTTGCGTCATTGCTACCAGGAATAATAACACAACCAGACAAAAAATATAATTTAGATTTATAAAGAACGTCTCTTCGAGTAGCACTGTGTCTTAAGAGCCCCGCCGGTATTCTCACACAGTAATTACACAGTCACACAAAAAAATTGTATTCCTGTCTGGGGACTAGACGGTATTTTCTATATGTTTTGGGGGAATCTGGTATCCATTTTACTCCATCACTTCAGGTTTAGGCATAACCTCAAAAAATGAAAAAAATAAAAATATTTCTAAGCGAGGGGTCAGACCATGCTATGTACATATTTTTGGGGTCCCTGCAACCGAATCTGAAGTGACAAATAGAGTTGGAAGAGGAATTGTGTACGACAATAAATTTTGTAAATGAAAAAGGATTGAAGTGCAAGTGAATATATGATGGATGAGAAAATCTATGGGAGAGAAGTTTAGGCTTACAATTTGAGAGATAGAGATAGAGAGATTAGAGAGATAGAGAGCGATAGAGAGATAGAGATAGAGAGATAGAGATAGAGAGATAGAGATAGAGAGATAGAGATAGAGAGATA